GGATGGAGGAGTGGAAAGGCATGCTTAATGGACCAGGCCCATTCTTCTTAACCTCTGAGGAGATCCTGCTTCCAAACTCTGTCCCTTCTGTCCTCATCTTTTGAAGGGTGCTTCCCACTTTACCCCTTTCCCCTCTGTCCAAAAACCACCAGATAAAACTTTGATATTTTGAGAGGGGTGAAAGATAAGCCCTGTCAGTGACTCAGTCCCCACACCAAAGACTTTTTGCAGGTGCTTTTTGGCTGAGCTAATGCGCTCAGCAGCAGCACATATAATGGAGCATGTCAGATAACAAGAGACAGGGTGTGTGTAGAGCAGGGATCAGCAGGCATAGAGCAGCATCATTCAGTTGGTTAGTTTCCTACTCTTGTCCTTTCTCTGCTCTTCAGAAGCAAAAGCTAATTCAGCCAAGAGCCTGAACCCCTTCCTCTCTACCCCACCAAAGGGGGGCAAGATACTTGGAGAGTTACTTTGCACTTTTTATTGGGTGGCCTAACACAGCATGGTGTGGTGGAGAGGGGGTGAAGCCTGTGCTGCAGAGGGTGATCAGCACTGCAAGACTACGATTGAGGAGCAGAGAGTTCAGGAGTTGCAACTTCTGTGGGTATTTTCAGCTGAGCTGCTGCTAATTCGCTTCTTCCTTCCCCACAGTTATCAAGTTCTTGGACGTTTATGAGCGCAGCTACTGCAGGACAATCGAGACGCTGGTGGACATATTTCAGGAGTACCCAGACGAGGTGGAGTACATCTTCAAGCCATCCTGTGTGCCCTTGATGAGGTGTGCGGGCTGCTGCGGTGATGAGGGTCTAGAGTGTGTCCCCGGAGAAGTGCACAACGTCACCATGGAGGTGAGGGTCTGGCTAGGGAATAAGCACAGAGGAGGAAAAAATGCCTCCTATCCTCAGGCCTTCCCTAAGTTGCAGCGGCAACTCGGAAAGTAAAGCTTAGCCTGGGGAGAGAGACCTCTTCCGAGATGGGGGATGGACCTTCTGGGGAATCAGGGGGAGAGTGTGTCTTGCTGCCAGCCATACCCTGGAGTGATGAGACACTACTCGGCAAGGCAGGAGTGTGATTTCCTTTGGCTGCACCCCAGGGATTTAACATGTGTTGCTTCCTTTTAGGGTTAATGGAAGAATCCATTTTCTGGGTCAGTGGAGTTACCTTAGTAGTTACAAAGAGAGATGCGGCAATATAAAGGGAACTTTCCCAGCGTGGTCTCTGAGGCCCCAGAGGGAACCGTCTCTTGCTCCACCTTAACTTTTGGTTTGGGACTTGTATCACACAGCTCTTGCTTCTAATGCGGCTGGCTGTAGTGTAAGAGAGGAAGTCCTCTCTGAACTCTCTCTCCTGGAGGGCATGTCAGGTCAGCCTGTACAGACAGGGCTGGGGATTTGGGTCATTAGCTACATTGGCACAGCAGGGGTGTGAAGGGGCTCTAAGAAACACACTGCCGCAGTGTCAAGTGAGAAAGCCTCTATGCTTTTCTCTCTTTTGTTCTGCAGCTACAGAATCAAGGGCTTCTGCAAGTCGGAGGCTACCAATTGTGGCTAATGCTGGGCACACAGGAAGGCTACATTTTGGGCAGTCTTTTCTCAGAAAGCTCTGCCACTGTGCCTCTACATCAGCCTGGGTTCTCTCTCTCACCCTAGGGCAATGCTGATTCCCCTTGTAACTGACCTATAGCCCCCTACTATCTCGGCCCTGGGTTCCCCACATCCAGTTCTTGCTGATGTCCCTCGCTCCTGCCCTTCAGCATCCCATGTTGTCTCAGCCCTGAAACTCTCAAACAGAGGCTGTGAATGCTGCAGAGGCTTTATAGAATGGAGAAAAGCCCAGAAGGGACTGTGCTGATACCAGCACACTCATTTTTCTCAGGGTCCAAGCTGTATGTGAATTGAAATGCACAAAGCTCATCGAGGCGGCTTGCACTGTTACCTATAGTGTGGTAACATCTAAAGGCCCCCATCAACCTGCCTCCCCATTTTACTTGGAGCTGAGCTAGAGACACATTTCTTCCTACTGGAATCCCCAGTTTGGGATCACTGGAATCATCCACTGGGGTGGGCGGGGCATGGGCACGGGCACATTGGTAAGCCTCTGATGCAGTCACAATGCCCATCTCCCAGCAGGGATCAGTGAAGAGTGCAGTATAAGTGTATAGCATCAGATCCTTGACTCAGATTACTTTAGTGGAGCTTCCCCGATTTGATCCTTGGGAGCTTTTGGGTCTTCGGGGATGATCTGACCACTAAGCACTGGGACAACGGGTCTGCCCATCTAACTAATTAGCAGCTTTTATTGCACACATCAATCAGCTAAAAGAGTACAACCTCAAAGAAGTGATTGGCTTCAGCAATCAGGAGAGAGATATGGACTGGTTCATTTTTGGCCTCCACTTTAACCTGAAGCCTTTTGCCATCTCAGGGCATTTTGGTGACTGGTGTGAAATGAGCCACTTGACTGTCATTCTTAGAGGGGCTCTGGACTGACTGGACAAGTGACCTCTATTAGGCGAGGGCCTGTCACATCAGGGGTGTACGGGAGGCTC